CGTGACATAGACATTAAACATGATGTTTGTTTTGTCCATGGTCATCTTAAGATCTATCCGTTGGGAAACACTAGTGAGGTCATTGAGCATAGTGCTTAGGTCCTCCAGCGATTCTGCCATTAGGATTATATCGTCGGCAAATCGAAGGTGAGTGATGTACTCGCCATTGATATTAATAATGTATTCTTTCCAGTCCAGAAATTTGAAAACGTCTTTTAATGCACCTCTCTACAATTGGATAGGTTTCGTACTCTGGTTCTGTACTCGGATAGCCATCGTAGCCCTACTGTACAAGCACTTCAGCACTTCGATATACCGACAGTCAACTTGGCACCGCTGAAGGGACTGCAGCACCGCCCAAATTTCAGCAGAATCAAAGGCTTTCTCATAGTCCACATACGCCAGTCATAGTGGCAAATTGTACTCCTCGGACTTCTGTACCGAAGGCTATGTATGTGGTCTATGGTGCTAAAGCCCTTTCGAAAACCGGCTTGTTCTGGAGGCTCATAATGACTCTCGAAAACAGCACATAGACGCGGCTCAGAAGGGAAATCGGTCTGTAGTTCTTCAAGAGAGTGTAGTCACCTTTCTTGAAGAACAAGACCACCGCACTTCTGCGCCACGCCTCCGGTGTAATGCCACCATGGAGGACGGAATTAAAGAGCTTCTGAAAGACTTCAACTACCGGTTTTCCACTCGCTTTCGAAAGCTCCGCTGTAATTCCATCCTCGCCTGGGGCCTTGCCGTTTTTAAAGTTCTGGAGAGCCATTCTAATCTCGCTTAAACTGACGTCCAGGGTATCATCGGAATAGTGTCGGATAAGACTCGCTCTTGGATCGTTACTCACACTTACGTGTTGCTCCAACGATGATGTGTACAGCTGCCCATAGAACCTCTCAATCTCACTCAAAATCTCAGGTGTCCCGGAAACGTCGCTGCCGCACTCGGTCTTCAGCTTCGATAGTTGGCTCTTTCTGGCAGACAGATCACTAGAAAAGACTTTGGAGCCCTGGTTCCGCTAGATAGCTTCTTCAATACGAGCAGTATTAAAGTTGCGTAAGTTCAGCCGCATGCATTTGGAGATCTGTCTGTTCAGTTGCCTGTATGCTGTCAAATCTACTGAAGACTGCAGCTTCATATCCCGTCTAACAGCCATGAGATTAAGAGTGTGATCGGAGAGTTTTTGTGTTCTTCTGCGGTGGCTTCTTGCAAAACTTAGCTTCGACCGCATGGACAGTTTCCACGAGTGCAATCTTCTAGGCACTGAAAACTATTTCGTAGCTCGAGCTGAAAGGTTTCGGGATTTTGGATTAGAACACGAGGGGGACGGAGCTTTGACTTCATTAGACGTGACCTCTCCAACTTAACGTTTAGGTTTAGTGTGCCTCTCACCAATCGGTGATCGCTGCCGGTTTTCACCCTCGCGATCACTGAGACATCACTGAACAGTTGTCGTCTGGTCGTTATAATGAAGTCAATCTCTTTTTTGTCGAACCGTCAGGGCTCGACCAGGTCCACTTCCTGTAAGGTCGCTTCTGGATAAAAGAGTTCATCATAAAGAGTCCCTCTTTCTCCATGAAGTCGGCCAACTGCTGGCCACTTGCGTTCCGTTGATCTATTCCGAATTTCCCTACCTTCAGCTCACCGTACTCTCTTGTGCCTAGTTTTGCGTTGAAGTCTCCCATTAAAACCGTATAGTGGGTTTTGGAGCAATGCATGGCTCTAGAGATATCCTCATACATTTCCTCCACCTCGTCTCATGAAATATCGGGGTGTGCCGAGGTTGGTGCGTAAACCTGTATGACCTTCAGCGAATACCGTTTTGTGATTCTGAGTATAAGATACGCAACCTTCGTCAACACACTCCCAACCTTTTCAACGTTGTTAACGAGAGACTTGTGGACGATAAATCCGACATCTCCTCGGGACAGATGGTCGCCTCCCGGTGATAGAACATGTTGCCGGATTCGAGGATCCGTGTCCTCCCCCTCTCTTTGGACCTCGGATAATCCTATGATATTCCAGCGCAACTTGTCTATCTTTTCTTCCAGCTCTAGGATCTTCTCGTCAGTCTTCAGGGTGCGTGCGTTATAAGTTGCCAGGTCGAATCCTCGTAGGTGGCAACCGAACCTCCACCGGAGATTCTTAGCACCCCCTGCCCCGCTGTTACCATGGTCGCCACCGTAGCCAGGAATAGCGGAATCACCGGGGACTGGGGGCCGTCTCTTCTTTACTATCATGGGGGGTATATTGTCATATTTGCCACGCTTGGCGGGCGGGTTAGCAACCGCAGTTTTATTATTGTTGTTTTGCTGTTATCAGAAAGATGCTGCTGCCCATCCTCTGCCTCAGTTTCCCTCTGTCGCCTCTTTAGACACCCACGGGAAGATATGCGGTTGTGAGTATTCTTGCCCGCCACTACACGGGGTCTTTTCTTATAGGATTCGTGTAAAGTACAAGTACCTCTTATTTTGCTCGTAGAATTCGTGAATGAGACTGGCTACATATTTTTCAAAGATTTTATTAAGAACTAGTTGTTCCGCGTGACTTCGTCCGCGCGATTTCGTTGTGGAATTTATAACGGTTGGATTTCATGGGTTTTGATTTTTTTGCAGGGAACCCTAATTGGTTTTCTAAAATAAAAGTAGCCTAAGTTACTCCTTATAACATCAGCTATCCAGCCAGTGAAAGTCCCGTCAAAATCGGTTAAGCCATTTCGGAGATTAGCCGGAACAAACGGTCAGACAGACAGACCGACGGACAGACAGACAGACAAAATTTTAAAGATTGTTTTCTTTTTGTATTAAGTACCTAATGTGGATACTTTCATATGCATTTAGTTAAAAGCTGTTATTTTGACATTACAAACAGACACTCCAATTTGATTTATTTGTATGGATTGGTAATATTGTAATTTGTTTGTATTTTTCGTATAATTTGTGGCTACCTTTTTATGTATTGGCCTGACTAATCCAACCATTAGGTCATCTGGATTCTGGACAACATCCAGTTTCAATGCTTTTGTTTATGCGATTGTTAGTTCCCGGCAGTGCAGCCCTAAATACATGACAGTAACGAACCTTCCCGTACACCACCATTCCTCTTAACTATCCTGAGGGTCGCCCATGTAAACCAAGACTACCACGGATGAAATTGTACGCCTACAATAACTACTAACTAAAAAAATTGTAGTATAGTATTATGTTAGGATCGGTCTTTTGTTTTTTTTATAACTGGCTTTGCGGGTCTGGGTTCTAGCCCTTCTGAGCCGGAAGTTACAATATATAGTTATGCTTCATAGTACACTTCTTCACAATATGTTGATGCGTCACATTGTGTAGGCCTTGAGAGATTTTGATGGCAACTTGAACCAGCAGACAGCTGACAGTTGGCGATGGCATCTTAAGGCGCCTAAGCAGACAGACACCTTATCTTGAGAATCAAATCACTATCAGAGCACTTGTTTCACCGTTTTCAGTAATAAGTTTGTAAAAGCAAAAAAAATTATATGTCATATAACTACAAATTAACGGTTTTCGGAATTTTTCCTTTACCGTAAAGAAAAAAAGTGAAGTAAGTTCACTGCTCTTCATGATTCTAGGTCAACTGAAAGTACCCTATAAGTTTTAAAGAATGAGTTTATGTGTATCAAAATTTCTAATATAAATTGCCATAACTTTTGTTTGCGTTGACATAGAAGCTTAATTTTTTACACCTCCAAGTGGCCACAGACCTTTGTATTTAATATTAAATACAAAAGAAACCACTACCCCATATTATCTATATATAAAGAGGCGGCAAAGCGAAAAGAATGAGGTTGGCAACCCGCTTGGTATCTATAGCGGCAAAATATATTCAGCAGCGGACTTTAAAACATTGTAATGGATGTATTATATATAATTCAGTCTTCACAACCAGACAGACTGACGGACTAACGGAACGACAAAGTGATCCTATTATGGTTTTTTTTTCTTTTCAGGTACGAAGTCCTAAAAATAAACATTACCTGAAAACATATATAAACACATTTTCTGAATCCTGTTCAGCGGGAAATTGATACGTCAATTGATAGTAATTTTGCTTACGTAATCAGATATTAATTAATTATATATACCTGCATATTTTTATGTTTTTCTGGACAATTTAGACTACAGTGCCAAACGCTATAAGTGTTACACAAAAAATTATTTAAATTTTACTGTAATTCGATCTATAGACCAAGAACTCCTTAGTAGATACCAATAAATAAAAGAAACAGTAGTTAGGGGGTGCTAAGAATCTCCGGTTGCCACCTAAGACGACTCGACCTGGCAACATAAACCTCACGCACCCTGAGGACTGGTTAGAAGATCCTGGAGCTGGGAGAAGAGATAGACAAGTTGCGCTGGAATATTATAGGATTATCCGAGATCCAAAGAGAGGGGGAGGACATGGTACTCCTCGAATCTGGCAACTTGTTCTATCACCGGGAGGGCGACCATCTGCCCCAAGAAAGTGTCGGATTTATTGCCTACTAGTCTCTCGTTAACAACGTTGTAAAGACTGAGAGTGTGTCGACGAGGGTTGCGTACCTTATACCCAGAATCACCAAAGGTTCCTGAAAAACCCACTATAGGGTGTTAATGGCAGACTTCAACGCAAAAGTAGGCACAAGAGAGAACTTGCAGACACTTAATACACAAAATCGTACTACTTTTACATATCATAATCCACTTCGAACCATTATTTAAACAATAATACAGGTGCAGCAATCCGCCGCTGGTCAAGTTCCCGCCAAAACTCGATCGATCTCTTGGCGATCGATCCTCTCTGCCTACCCCGCAAAGGATAAAATAAAGCTATAGTTGTGCCATAATATGTGTAATAGTGGATGAGTCATTTTCTTCAAAAATGCTTATTTATTACAGTCTGCAATAACATTACGAAGTTAAAATTCAGGTAGTTTTGTATCATTTTCTATGAAATTGTAAATGTACTTTAAATAAAAGTAAAATACTTACGTCGGAAGAGTATTATCCCCTCTTGAGCATTATATCCGGTGAGAAGAGGTACATCAGACCCAGGTAACAAGTCTCTGGGACTTCTTGTAAGGAAGGCATCGGGTCCGTCCGGTTCAAAGACTGGCAGGAAGGGCAGCGCCACCGTGCTCTGCAGGTCGGCGGTTTTCCCCGGTGCCGCAGCAATTCGCGCCCCGGCTTTCACCAGCAGCTCGCTTGGTGTTGCTCTTAAGTACCCTATATTAAATATTTTATACAATATAACAACATTACGGCGAGGGATGTTTTAACACGCGTCTCTGTAGCATAGTCGTACGACCTTATTTATGTTATTTAAAAATAATAGAAATAGAAAGAAGCATGCTATAACGATACGTAAATAATTGAATACCAAAAGATGAATTGAACGTTGTTTCACAGCTTTATTGGTTTGAAGCGTTAGTTTATCGCTCGATGAATAGACGAAACAACTTCCGATGGGGAAGAAAAATTATCGAGTGGCAAGGCGATTTCATACTAGTAAACGAAGTTTAGAGTGGTCCCGAACTAAAATGTATTGTCGATCTGTTTTTGCAAAATGTGGATACTGATAGCTCAAGACCGTGCTTTCATGCATTCCTTGGGAGAAGCCTTTGTTCAGCTGCCGACTTGTGAAAGGCTGTAATGATGATGATAACACATTGTGATTGAGATTTATTTTATTACTATCTTTGCTATCATCGATATATGCTTGCCCAGTGAGAAAACCAATAGATATTACCTATTGTGTAATTTTTTCTGATAATAAAACGTTTTTTATTTTCATTTTCATTTAATCATTATAACTAGACAGTAACATCGAAATAGGCTTCTTCTAATTTAGCAGTATTGCTAATAAAAAACGCTTGTTAGTCTGTGTGCAGTTCAAAACGCAGCCGACTAAAAGTTTTTCCAGTCATGGTTCTAAATATCATAGGTTTAAGTTTTTAAGCAAGTACCCAAGTCGACTGTAACACTACCAAAAGAAAATAGTAAAACTGGGTTTCTTTCTGGTTCTTACCAGGATAAAGGTATTTTCCGAACCAGTAGTAAATAAAAAAATGACTCTCAATAAGCATTATGTAATAATCTATATTGAATAAAAATTATTCTATTCTATTCTATTGACAGGGAATATTTGTCACGCTTTACAAGTGAACCATTCGCAGTGGTCGACATTTATCTAATGCTGCTTCGTGTCATATACTTTTAAAACCGGTCCAAAAGTTTTTCTGGTCTTTCCTAAGTCGATTTTTAAGACACCTACAAGTTAAATTGTAAACCTAATAGATTCTGTTATCTTGTCGATACACAAATTGAATAAACAAGTGCATTTTGATTTACATACCAAGCAGTTCTGCAGTGCTATTGGTGTCGATGCCCAGTTCACGGCCCAGTTCGAAGGCTCGCTCCCGAGGGTCCTTAGCTAGAGCCCATGGAGATAGTGCAAGTCCACTTTGTGCAATGACTCGATGAAAGAGGCCCTGAACAATTATATTTTTACATCTTGCAATATTATATATTTTTTTATTTTGACTTAATAGGCCAAATATTAATCTAAAAAATATGGTAGGTTTATCCGGTGGACGACCTTTCTCGTTAGTGACTAGTGAGTACCATAAAATATCACGTGTGTATATAAAGTTTTAAATAAATAAATAAATAAATAAAATAATCCACAATAAAAACGAATAATTTGGGTGTTTTAAAGCAAAATGAAAATATTTTTTTATTCGTTGTGTTTTTATATTATAGAAGTGAGGGTAGGACTCAAAACAGCCTCTCATTCGGACAGTATAAAGTTCAACGCAGGCGATGTGCCGGAAGATTCCGCTAAAATAATTCAACAACGACAATCGACCACCTTGTTAGTTGCAATTCTGTCCTTTGTGGTTATTTCGCAGAATAACCAAATAAAAGTATTCTCTGCTGTTGGCTTCCACATTTAATCTAATTTTGTGTTATCATATAATTACGTCCATCACGTCACTACATAATATGTGATTATGACAAGTACGTATTGCGATATGGTCAAACGTAGCTGCGATGCACTGAATGTGTAGTGTTGTACGCTATTAAAGCAGATAAGAATAAATTGCGTAACCAAGATAATAAGTCGCACATCCGATCTTAAACTATTATTATTTAAACAATTACTTCTCTATGTATTTTCCACGCCAACAAGCCAAGTACTACCGATACACATATCCTCCTAAACATTATGCTTAAACCCACCACCATGCAACTAATTGTAAAACGTACTATACTGAACAACTGCTTACTGAATGAATAAATTACTTTAGGTTGGCCGCAGAAAATGGCAGGCAACCATTATAATATATCATCAGATATAACCATCATCGTCACAGCCTTTACAAGTCCACTCCTCAACCTTCCCTAAGAACACGAAATCCTACATAGTGCGGCCCAGAGTCACCTGAATCCACCAACTTCCTACACCTCTTACCAAGTTGTTACATATAGTGGTGGGCTGCCCTAAATTTCATTTACCGGTACTAGGCTGCCACTCGACTACCTTTCATCCCCATCTGTTTACAGTTCTATAAGATATATAGCCGGCCCATTTCCACTTCGTATTGTGATGTCAAAAAGTTGCAGCGACATAGATTTTCAGCAGTGATTTGAACTACGTCAGCGATTTGGTATTGAGGAGCAAGTATTGACATATCACTCTTATCTTTGCAGTCGTTTGCATGTTTTTTAAAATTATAAACATAATACCTTAGACGCAGGAGACAGCATGTGCAAATGTACGGAGACGGCGCCAGCCGATTCGCCGAAAATCGTGACACGCTCAGGATCACCGCCAAAGAATTCTATATTTTCTTGTACCCATTTCATAGCCATCACTTGGTCCTAATTGAATTGAATTGAAATGAAATGATTTAAAAAAAAACGTTTGTTTATAAATTAAAGAGAAATAAGAAAAATGTTTAAGTTAAATGATTCAGGTCATCACACAGATCGATTTTTTAATAGAAATTGGGGTGACAAACAAGCACACGTTCCACCTGATAGTAATGGTATGCCGAAGCTACTAGACCTAGAAAATTACATCTATCCTCGATTAAGCATCAACAAATCAAATGGCACTGCAAATCCATCAGAAGCCAAATCCTTCCATGCAAACTTGTGTCTTCTGAGGATTAAATCGGACTAAATTTAGGCGCCACCAATCCGAGACTTTATTCAGCAAAGACTTGACTTCAGACACAAGTTTGTTCCGGTACTCGGCGATGTTCTCCCGAGAAATATTGGCACGGCTGGTGTATAGAGCATTACCAGTGCTGTCATCCGCATAGCAATGAGTGTTACTGTTTTGCAACATATTATTGATATGCAGAAGAAACAGTGTTGGTGATAGCACGCAGCCTTGTGGAACACTAGTGTTAATAGGTTTGTAATCGGAGCATGCACCGTCCACTACGACCTTGATGCTTGCACTTTGTGCCAGATCCGATCGAAGGCCTTCGCCTTGTCCAAGCTAACGATGAATGCCTCCCCCTGGACTCGATCACCTGCGCCCATCTATATGTTAGGTAAACAAGAAGATCACCAACTGAGCGACCACGACGGAAACCGTACTGGCGGTCACTAATATACTGGTGCTCCTCAAGGTACCGCATGAGCTGGCAGTTAATAATGGATTCCATTATTTTCGAGAATAAGGAGGTGATGGCGATAGGTCTGTAGTTGGACGGATCAAAGCGGTTACCTTTTTTAGGGATCAGGTGCACGACAGCTGCCTTCCATGAATTCGAGACAACGCCTAGGGAGTAGGAGTAATGGAAAAGACGCGTTAGAACCGGTGCCAACTCTGGAGCTCACGTCCTTAGCACAATTGGCGGGATTCCGTTAGGCCCACTCGACTTGTATATGTCAAGGGAGAGGAGTGCTTTGCGTACTGAGCGCTGTGTGAATCGCACATCAGGCATAGGGTACTCACACTGCGGGATGGTTGGTGGTGTGTTCCCCCGTCATCGGGAGTCAAGTACCACGCAAAAAGGGAGCTTTCGGCTTTCTATTTTGCGGAGTGGACCAGTGAGTCATCCACCCTGTGCAGAGATGGTAGTGATGGCTTACAGAAATTCCCTTGAACAGTCTTGGCGAGAGACCAGAATGCATGGGTTCCACGAAGGAAGGCGAACTAATTTCTTGCCAATTCTGCCTATGTGCTCATACTTTGCCTTTACAATTACTCTTTTGAAGGACCTGGAGGTGAAGTTATACTTTTTTAATGCATGCTGGTGTTTACATCCGGAGCCGCCGAAGCCTCAGGCCAGGCCTGATAACACTCCTGATTCCTGCTTAATGCATGCAATCTCCCCGCATAATCGGTTTAACGTGAACCGAGCCATTCGGCGTGGTGGGCGTTAAAATCGCCAAGTATCACAATATCTACGGATGGAATCTGGTTGTAGCAAGAAATCTGTAGCTATTTAGACGTGGTCGATGATGATCGGTCTGTGTCGGCATTACCGCTATGGGACATATACGGGCACCCGTAGACACGGGGATGGTCGTCGTTGTCTACGCGCAGTCAAAGGATGGACAGGTACAGAACAGGTATCCTCTCTGACGTATACGCCAGCCCGGGGCACAAAGAACCCAAGTCCCCCCACAGAATACGCGGGGCAGTCTGAGCATCCAGCTCCTACTTTACGTTGGTTTTCTGTGAGGTCGTGGTACTGCCCCGGTTCGTATAGGTTGATTGTGTGCTCGTTATCTACGTTGAATAAAAAACAACATTTTTTGAGGATTTGTCTCAATGGTTACGCATGCCAGGTGAGTTGACGGTCGCTGTACCAGACATCTTGCTTGTACCATTAGGTGGACTGTATGCTCGTGTGTCACCCTTATTCTATAAAAAAAAACACCGACACCCACGAGGTAAAATGTGGTGATTCCCGACGCCACCACCGCACGGCACGATACTAACAGTTATAACTGTACAGTCATATGTTAGAACGGGTTAACATGTTGTTCTAATTAAATATTCTTCTTAGAAGAAGAATCTTATCCTTTAAAAAAGAGCCAAAGTTTGATCAAGATGTGTGAATCTTGGTAAAAAGGTGGTTTAATTATGTATGCTGACGTTAAGCCAACAAGGTTAAAAGTAACTACTGGAGTATGTGAACAACAGCGTCAAATCGTTTAAGAAAATTGTGGTTGGAGTTAGACAAAACGGAATTTTAAAACTCTTGACCGATTTAACTAAGCCGTGACTAAAGTGTTGCGTAATAAAATATAGGTATGTTACTAAAATAGACCTAATTTACGTGATTCTAACTACATTATTGCGAAATTAGATACAATTGTCATTCAAAGTGCGTTATTTCTATTGCAATCTTTTTTTTGAATGTGATAGAGTAGAGCTCTAGGTAGACAGTACTAGCCATTGACTGGTCATCAGAATTTCGTCTGGCAATCCACAAAAAAGGGTACACAGCAGGTGAAGTTGACATTTTGAGAAAAAGTTGACGTATTTCCAGAATAAAATGCTTTTTTATATTATTTGAACAATAACAACATTATATTTGTATATAAATTTCACATAAATGTAAAAAAAGCCATTTTCAATTACTATAATAAATAGTATTTATATATATATATATATATATATATATATATATATATATATATATAAATACTATTTAGTATATTTATTGTTATCAATAAATATTAATATAAATTTTTACACTAATGATCAACTGGCTTAAAACGTTATAATTTTTTATAATTAATTAATCATGATTGTATCTTCGCTGTCAAATTTAATTTTAAAATGAAAAAGAAAGATTTTTTACAGCCAGCTGTATTATATTCTAACCTTCTAACAACTTTGAAAAAAGCCTAAATTTCATAAGGAATTTAACAATGTTCTAATTATGCTTGTTTGGTGTACAATTTTGTAACTAATTAAAATTCTGTACAAACTTATTTTTTTGAAATAACCTACAGAGAGTTATAACGATCAAATAAATGTCAAGGTATTAAAAATTACGGTGAAATAAATGAAAAACAAATGCTAACCTTGAGACCCATGTTTCCTGGTACTTCGTCATTTTCGAGGCTTAAAAAGCCTAAAGCCCCGAGTCTGTAGTTTAGCGTGACGAGGACCACACCAGCGCCTACAAAATGGTCAGGGCCGTACAAGAATGCGTTTCCAGAGCCGACAGCAAACGCTCCTCCATGGATCCACAACATAACCGCAAGCTTCGGATTGTATCTGTTAAAATTATTCGTTCATTCATAAAAGCCCATCCAAGTCCACAGCTAAACATACGAGTAGGCCATAGATTGCCTCATATTAGCAATAGTTGCCACGCTTCGTAGCCGGGTTGGCAACTGCAGTTTTTTTTATTATTATCTAATAAATTGTTGCATATTAGGTCACCCATGGAATAATATGGGGTAGTTTATTCGCTTAAGCCGCCACTCTTATTTTACTTGTACTGAGCTAAAATGATGATGATGATTATAAATTTCAATGTCACATTGCTCGTTATATTTTTTAAAGAAAATGTTCATTAAGTTGTTTATTAAATATTTTCCAGATTTATGTCACAGTACTTAAAAAAGTTTAAATTGACGCGTACATATTGCATTCTAGCTGGGACTTTTGGATATTTTATAACCACGACACTACATATTTTAATGACGGAACTGGTTAGTAATATTTTTATTTTATTTTAATTTTATTTCTAAAAAAAACGTTACCACCACACTAGGATTTTTCCTGTATCGTGGAGGCAGTTTACAATCACAAATTGCACAAGGACGAACATCCAGACCCGGAACAATTAATTGTAGGCCATACAAATACTTGTTCCGTGGGGGATTCGAACCGGCGGCCCCCAGCGCTGCAACTCATTCCTAAGCCACTGCGCCACGGAGCCGTCAAAGTTACAAAGTGAGTCGTAAAATATTTCCACAAACGTTGTTACCCAACTTTGTTATCAGACAAACCATTCTAAATTTATTTCTGCAAATTAATAATTATTTTAAAAGCATGTATCTCATGATATTCTATTAGTATCGAAGTCTAAAAAAATGTACATACGCATATATTAGGGAATTACAATATGTATTTTTTTAATTCTAATCTTGAAATTGAGACTTATTGGTCAAACTGAAAAATTTTTTTTTGTACATAATATCACTCATATCACTCACGTAACTTTTGTCTAATTCTGAAATTATAAATCTGAGCTGACAGTTATCAATTCAAAGATTACTTGTGACATCGAAACCCTAAAACCTATAAAATTACTTTGAAAGTTACATGCCGATTATTGTCAGAAAGTAACACTTATTTAGTAAATTTAATGAAAGGTTTGAATTCAATATTAATATCTATAATAGACCTCGTAAAACAGAGAAAAAGCGCTCGCCGTTGAAATTTCACAGTATGTAAGAGAACTGATTTTGATCTAACCAGCACCAATACAATTGTAAATTGCAACTTTAATAGTTGATTTATGACATGCTCGTGGAAGAAGTAGCATTATATTTAACGAAAACTGCAAAAAATATTAAGAGAACATGTAAACTCTGCCCAAGGGCATTAGGGTAGCGCGACCGAATTCTAAAATTTTCTCAGTATTGAGAAGAGGCTTGTGTTCATCTGTGGAATGTAGTTGTAGAATTATAATTTACTTCTTTAAACTATAACTGGCATATTGTTTGGAACATGCAAAATATAATAAAGTAATAAATTCTATAGAATTTTTATTGCTTAAAAATTTTTCACTTCAAAACCTAATGGCATAGCTTGCATAACATTCATCGCAATTGGTGTTTTCATAAGCCATATGACACATTCGGGTCATCAATAAAATGACTAAATAGACGCGCAACAATCATTTAATCATTTTATAGAAAGCCTCATCTTGAAATTACGAAACACAATAAACATAAATTTGGGACAAGTGACGATGAATATTTGATAAAGTAATCGATGTCATTCATTCAGATTATATAAAGACTGATCTACTACAAGTTACCGCATATGACGAGATGCGAATTTTAAATGTGTTTTTGATAATAAAATTAAATGGCCTAACCAAATATGTTGACATAATAATATCAGTCATTGACTTTTATTTGATTTCTATGATGTTAGAACATTTGTTCGTAAATATAAAATATGATATTTACCGCCGTGTAGATGAAGGTTCGTTTTTTGTGATTTTTTTCTATCTTTGAGTTTTTGCTATAGTAATGCAATTATCTTGCATCTCGAATCCGACTTTGCGGTTAAACTAACGACAGTATAATATGTTATACAAGTTGCACGGAAGGAGACTCCAGTTAGAACTACTCTAGACGAACCTTCTAGTTAGGTACTCCTCTACGTTCGGAAGTCCGGAGTCATTTGCACGCAAAATTTAAGCAGTAAAATTCGACCAGAAGAATTAATATGTAGAATATTTATATATCGTTACGTAACGGTAAGCTTATTAATAGTCCACTGGTTAACATAGGCCTCCCCAATAGATTGCCTTATCGCGAGGATATTTGCCATAGTTGCCACGCTTGGCGGGCGGGTTGGCAATCGCAGTTTTTTATTTTTAGTTGTCAGTAAGAAGATGCTGCTATCCATCTCGTTTATTTCCCTCTGGCGTCTCTCACGACATCGATGATATGGTAGTGGACGGTGACGGTTGTTAAGAAATGTACTAACAAATACAAAATTTATTCGTCCATTTGCATGCAGCTACTGGCTAATAATAAAATAGCATCCATTCAAATACAAGGCAATACAAGTAGATTACATAAAAATAGTATTAATTAATGTTTTAAACATAGGTATGTCAAGTTTAAGGTTAGTATACCTTATTCTTTATTGTTGTAATACAAAGTGACGATAAAAGCTTATGCTTGAATCTATTAAACCTATAATATAAAAATGAATCGCTGAGTGTGTTGCTAAGCGCAAAAAAAAGCAGCTGACCCGATTTCGGTAATTCTTTATTTTATAATATTCCTTGAAGTAGGTACGAAGATGGTTCTTACGGAGAGAAAATTTAAAAAATTGCCTGACAAAGTCTAAAAACAACACTATTCTATATTCCCATACAAAAGATTCGCAATAATACTTAAAAGTCAATTTGAACTTTAATACTATAGGTATCATAAAGTTTAAGTGTTAGTGGAGGGGTTCCGGGAAGGCAAAACATGTATAAATTTAATGTCAATATTTGTCAATATTTATAAGATGGTGACATTACTCAAAAACAAAATTAGGGTTCCGCGCAAAAAATTGATATCCATGAAATTGAAATTGTAGTAAATTCCTTGCGGGCGAAGTCGCGGGGCATAGCTAGTATTAAAACAAAATTCGTAGATCTTTTTAAGCTTCCTGTTTACTATTGCTATGAGAATCAACATTCATTATCATCATTTTCATACGTGGTAGAGCCATGCTGCAGCTATATATATTAGTGGTATAGTTTTAGCACTAATGGGTCGGCTCAACCGGTGAAGGACCACGCTCTCAGAGAATACCAGCGTAAAATAGCAGCTTAACATTGCTGTGTTTCGTATGGTGAGTGTAGAGAACCGGAGATCCATTTTACTGGAAACAAGGTATTCCATCTTAGTCCTCATGGGTGAAAACGCATCTGCATTTTGATTTGCATACGAGGATAGATGTAGATGTCTATGGGTCACAACAACCACTTCCACCATCAGGTGGACTGTGTGCTCGTTTGTCACCCTATCCTATAAAAAAATAATTACAGCCCTTCACAAGTGCTCTGCTGAACATAGGTCTCCCCCAAGGAATGGCACAAAACATGGTCCTGGGTCAACTACATGCAACGACTTCTTGCATCTATTACCAGATCGAGACTCCATCTGTTAGGAGACCGATCAGCACTTCGCTCCCACCTCAAGCGTTACGAGGCTGCCGCTCAAAACCCTTTCTTCACCATCGGTTGTCGGTTCTTCGAGCTTCTGCACTTTATATTTCATCACATCAGCTTACTGAAGAACTGATATAATCCAACGGGATTATGTTAGTTACTCTGGTTCTACTGCGGTTATCCTCATTTCTAAGTCTATTACGAAGAAAGTCAGAGCATAGCCCTCTCCATAGTTTATTTAGCAACGACATACGACTAGCAGTTGTGGACTTAATGATATAGTTCACATCTCCACCGTCAGTTATATTAAATATACTTACCCAGTGATATTATCAGGAAGTGCTGGAGTGTAAACGTTGAGGAAGAGGCAGTCCTCATCACCCTTGTAAGTGTCGAAGAGCATAAAACGATGTGGACACACGGCTCCCTCCTCTAACGCGTCACGGATGCCCGTCCAAGGTTCCAGAGGCGCTGGTGGCCTAAACCTCAGGTGACCGCGAGGCGATTGTGCATACCTTAAAATAACATAGTTAATAAAAATGATTTATTGTGTCAGAAATATGTATTATTTACATCTGTTCAAAATAAAAGACACAACATAAGTCCTGTCAAATAATATCAACAATTATACGTAGTAGAGCCATACTGCAGCTATATTAATTGTATAGTTGCAGCACGAATGGGTCGGCTCGGCTGGGAAAGGATCACCCTCTCACAGAATACCAACGTAAAATAGCAGCTTAACGCTGCTGTGTTTCGTATGGTGAATGTAGAGAATCGGAAACCCTTTTACTGGAAACGAGGCATTCCATCTTAGTCCTCACGGGTGACAACGCATCTGCATTTTGATTCGTAATCGAGGATATATAGTAGATGTCTAGGGGCCGCTGCTACCACTTATCATCAGGTGGACTGTGTGCTCGTTTGTCACCCTTATCCTATTAAAAAAAGTTTTTTCATTTCTAAATGTTCAAAAATTGAACATTTGAGAGTAATCATACTTCTCCAAGATTGCAACAGTTGGTAAGCTTCATTCGATAGATTAGCCCATGACCATAATCATCATGCATCACCTCACAATGAGCAGGCGGATCAGTAAGTACAAACTTGACATTTTCTTGGGTACCATTAGGGTAAGGCACACCGTCGTCTTATCCTGGCTTATAGAAGAGAAAGGAAAAATTACTTTCAAATTCTTGTGAAGTCCGCCAATATCCACGCGCGACAGGCTTACTGCTTCATAACCTTGCAGAAACAGGTTCTGTGAATAAAGTCCAGCAGTGGGAGGTATATACATGCCTTAGCTTTACTTTTCTTTAACTATGTATCTAGGTCTTGTTGAAGAAAAGCACATAATATTTATTTTGATATTTAGTATTTACTAACCTTATGCCCTTAAAGCTATAGTATGGAGTCTGTGACGTCGTTCGTGTTACTAGTCGCCGTCCTCGTAATGCGCCGAGTCGGGTGTTTACCACAGGCCCGCCGCCGACTCGCATGCGGTCTACTAGTGCGTGCACTAGACGAGCGGCGCGCGCTGGAACAGCCTGAAGTCTTCTCAGTGCATGTTTCAAGCCAACTGATTCGCTAACTGTACTTGACAGCCGTCGCCATGCGCCTGTTACCTATAAAATTAATTTAAATTACATTTTCTTCAAAAAAAAATTACTATGGTTTTTATCATGTATTTACCTGTAATAATATGTATTCTGTGGTATCGTTTTACATTCTCGTTATACATATCTCGTTATACATTACTTTTATCGATTATAAAAATTATAGAAATTTTAGATTACATTTATCAGTTATAGAAAATCTGATCAACTGTCATCGTATATAATTTTTTTATAGGATAGGGTGACAAACGAGCACACAGTCCACCTGATGGTAAGTGGTTGCTGTGGCCCATAGACATCTACATTTATCCTCGTTTGCGAATCAAAATGCAGATGCGTTGTCACCCGTGAGGACTGAGATGGAATGCCTCTTTTCCAGTAAAAAGGGTCTCCGGTTCTCTACACTCACAATACGAAACACAGCAGTGTTAAGCTGCTATTTTACGCTGGTATTCTGTGAGAGCGTGGTCCTACCCCGGTCGAGCCGACCCATTCGTGCTACAACTATACTACTAATATAGCTGCAGCATGGCTCTACCACGTACAAAATATAGTTACCACCCAAAAATTTATAATATAAAATTAAAAATCATTGTTTCAATTTAGGTAGGTATATACTTATATCACCCTTCTCACAGTTAAACACATGTTTCCTTTCGTTTCTCGCACGCTGAGCAGCGTAACAACGTATACGTATATTACGCATAACAATCTTATCTGAAATTTTATTTCCGTCATTTATGTACATCATGCAATAACAAAGAGAAAAATTTTACACAGTAATATTTGTTGCCAATAAAAACGCCAACAAACGCAATAGAACCTTGGAATAGCAAGAGTTTGATTGTCTTAAAAGAAAACTAAATCTCGTCTCGTCACTTTAAATGGTCTATAATTATGTTTTAAATCAACCGGTATTTTTAATTAACTAGCCTAATTCATTTTATCCTCAATTTATCACTTTATCCTCATGTACAAAATATCATTTTAGTAGATTTTGATTTTATCATAAAGGCTTAATTTCGTCTATTAATCTACTTATTGACTATATCTTCTTATATTTTGGTAGATAATATAGTTTTATAAAAATACGAACCGATATAGAATTCGGAAATTAATTAAATTACATACAATGGATTTCGTAAGAGGCGACAGAGAGAAACACACCAGTAAATGGGCAGCAGCGTCTTTCTAATAACGATAAAAAATGCGATTGCCAACCCGCGTGCCAAGCGAGGCAACTGTGGCAAATATCCTCTGTATGAGGCAATCTATGAAGAAGGCCTATGAAAAGCAGCGGAATTTTGATAGACTGTAACGATAACGGTAAACGCGATGTGTGTTAGAAAACTGTATAAATAAACATTCAAAACCAGTGCGTTCACTTATTATCAAGCGAGCGTTATTGAGGTTCGACGAATGTCAGCTGTGTTTTATATATAGAGCATAATGGACGAAGATAATATTAAGGTCAGGGCCGTTACAGCGTATAATATCTAGACAAAGATTTTATATAAAAACTACTACTAAATAAATACGAGTTATAAAATAACTCAATAAGTTAAATTAGCTCAAGGTTTTTGAAGCGAAGTAGAGGTAGGGAGAGTAATCATCACAAAATCATTACCGTTTGGGCTCCCATCAATCCTTTCCGGTATTATCAACCTCCGTATTAGCTCATAATAGATAATGCGAGAAATATGCGTTGTGCAAACTCGCTTTAAATTCTACTCTTAGCAGTAGATTATAGCGACTATATTAATAGCATACATCTAGATAACATGTTAGATAAAATTCAGCCATAGATATGTTTGAGCTGGCCCAGGGCTTGAGCGCTCCCCCCGAACGGGTTCCCGCCTTGTCGTGGCTTAGTAGCCGTGGTTTGGTCACCAGCGGTGAACAAAGAGGAACCCCTTGGCTGGCCCGTGGTGTAGGGCCGGCCCGAGGTGGTCACTCCGAGTGGGTTTGGCGAGCCCACTTCGGATGTTTGTCGGTGGGCTGCGGTGGAAGGGGTGTCCTCTCCCCCTGCCGCTGCAGCCGAGGTGGAATCGCGGAGGAAGAGGAGTGTTGGTATGGAGAAGCGCCACTCGCCCTATCCTCCGCGACTCAGACGGGGCCGCACCGTTGATGCGGTGGTGATGGGGCCGCGGGGGGAGAGTAGTGTCGGTATTGCGATGCGCCGCTCTCCCTACCCTACGCAGCCGAAACTTGGTTGGCGGCGGAGCCAGAGACCAGATCCGCCGCTGAGGTCGGGAAAGCGAGTGCTTCTAAGCGTTTGATTTTCCTGGCCCCAGGGTCTCCGCGTATCGGACCCCCCCGAGTCCGATACAGTTGGAGTTGGAGGCCGTGAAGGGGGGCGTGCCTTGTGTTCTTGGTGCGCCTTGCCTGAGAAGGAGAATGGGGAGGAGAGGTCCTCCCCCGAGAAGGGGCTGCCATGGGGCGGCCGGCGCTGGTGGGGCCGCGGATGTGTGCGAAAGTGGCCCGTGGCCCTGTCAATATGCGGCGAAGGTGGAACACCATGGGGTTTTAGTTGGTGCGAGTCCGACATAACCCGTCCATGCCCCCGCGAGGCGGGTATGCGTAGGCATTTCTCCATGTTAAAAAAAAGGGCTTGAGCGCTTGTAATATACGAGTAATCAAAGTTTGATCCCCATTTAGCTACCTTTTCATTAACCAAAGTTTAAGGTTGAAGCTGTCACGGACTCGTCGGTGAAGGCAAACTAAATCAAGGATGGGGAAATCCAATGAGTCAAAGTCTGCGAACATCTTCAAAATGTAACTTTATAAAACATTATACAGGCTATTTTGTTTTTAATTACTTTTTCCGATACAGTGAGATGAAGCTGTGTCAATATAATTTAAAATTAAAAATTTTGTACAGCCGACTTCAAAATAAGTTTTAAGGATAACTCAAAAACTATTGGTCTGACATGATCAAATTCACATGAGACCACACGAGAAGTACCAGCTTTCAAATAAAAAAAGAATCATCGAAATCGGTTCACCCAGTAAAAAGTTATGAGGTAACACACATAAAAACAAACATGCAGTCGAAATGAGTACCGTCTCCTTTTTGGAAGTCGGCAGAAAAGAGACGATATCATTGATTTTAATTTAGTAAAAATGATTAAATTGTCGAATAAACTATTTTTAAGAATTTTATGACGCTTAATTTACTTATTTTTAATTCGCGACTATAAAGAATATGATTATAGGTATTACTACTAAGTGCTATATAAACCGTAGGTATCGTTTGAATGGTGTTTTGTTGTTTCTCTGTAGAATATTTGTGCAAATATGTCGTTGCTATCCTTGACACATAAATATGATACTAGCAATTTTAAAATAAGTATTATAAACATTAATGAACATGCTAAAATATTGCACAGACATCAATAGTCAAAATAAGCAGTATACTGACTAAGGGTTTCGATATTTTTAATTTTTATTATATTGTATATGTTATGTTATATAAAAGGTTATACTGATTTACTCGAGTTGTAATTTCTTAAGGACACACTCCTTAAGAAATTACAACTCGAGTAAATCAGTATAACCTTTCATATAACATAACAGTATAGCGAAGTATATAGTATGGCGAAGCGCCACTGGCCACTTAATCTTAACCTCGTTTACAATAAAGCTTCGTTAAACTAAAACAGTGTCAATTGTTCTTTGTCGCACTTAATAACTTAATTTTCAATTTACAAACTAATTAAATAATCAGTCAAGACAAACAATCGATCAATTTATCGAACTTTTTGTCAATCATTTCTTTCACTAGTCTGCTTATGCCTCTCAATTGGTGATGTTGCTTAGTAGTCAAATTACCCGATTACTAAGTAAAAATTTCAAGTTTCGAATCCCATCTAAAATCGATACTCATATAAAATAATATAATTCATTTAAAGTGAATTCATTTAACTTGGGATTCTATTAAGGACTATAAATTATTTACTTGAGCGTTTGCATTGTACTCTAAAACTATATAAGTTTTTGGTCTATTATTATTGTCTCCCTGCCACTGATAGTCAAGCCTCCTTTTAGTTACCTTATCGAATATATAGATCGATAAAATATTAACGAATAAATGTCTGTATTATATTATTATTGAGAGATGTTGAACAATGGATTCCGAATATTGAGATCCCGAAATCAAATACTCTAAGTGTAACACCCTCTTTCATATTTGTTCCGTAAAGTGTAACATTGATTCCAACCTTATGCTCGGGTCTAAAGGATGTTGTACACGCCCTTAGCTGTCCCGACAAAGGTCGACTATACATACATACATATATACATGTATATATACATATACATACATATACCCGACGGATAACTAAGGACGGGGCCCAAATGGCTTTAGGAGAGTTGACCTACACGATATAGATAAGCTAGGTAAATAAATAGTACGTACCTGTTCAGAGGCGAAGACGGATCACAAGGCTTGTTCAGGCGTTAATTGTCGTGAATGTAAGTAGTGTGTGAGAAGTGTATATATGTTTAACCTGAATTAGCCCTTTTTAATCAGCAGCAACCCTGACTCCAGCACCGCCACCGTATGTGGTATCACTCCAGCGGCGTCACTCGGTGTCACTCAAAGTCTAGCGTCCATTAGCACAAATCTATAATCTAATACGAACGCTGGTTCTCGCGGGTCACAAGTTTAGCTGTTTTAACCGACATAGGAAAATATCTCCGAGTTAAATCCAATGGCACAAGGCAACTCGTTAACGCGAATTAATATTGTCAGTATGCACTTATGCATTCAACCACTATACCACTTGACGTTCAAACTCAACTAAATCCCGTTAATTATAATCAAAAACGTAACACGCGGCACGACTGATGAGCGATGGGTCAAATTTCACTTCCGTTCACTCAGCCTCAAATTATTTCGAGAATAGAACGCGACCTTCTAAGGCAGTGATCACGCGGCCCGAATAGACTCACTGCAATACTTAGACAACCGAATCCGAGACGGTCTTCAAGAAACACAACGTAAGTAG